GTCGTCCAGCCCGTAGCTAGTCACTATACTGACTGAGCTATCCCGGCTCATACACAGGACAGCAAAACACAGAAAAATGCGGACAAACATCCATGGCTTGAGTGGGATTTGAACCCACGGTCTCAGCGACCAAGCAGCACAAGGCCCACACCTCAGACCACGCGGCCACTGTGGACCCCCACTGTATTTAATAGAATACTTTTAGTCTATACATTTAAATTAATATGTCTACTTTATAGGGTTTACAGCATTCTGAAAAGCTCTCTATGCAATCCGGTTAACAGTCCTAATGGTGATTGATTTTATACTCGTCAATGTCCCCAGAATTAAATTATGAATTTGGTCATTCCAGAATATGAGAACTATGGCAAAGATATAAACTTTTGATTTTAATTCATTTCAATAACTGACTTCCACTGTTTCCATTGGTAAGTCACAATTTATAAGGAAAGTATGTGGGTGCACATAATTTGATTCAGTGGTACAAACAACAACAAAACCAATATGTTGTTTATGTTCATCAACGGCTCAGCATCTATACATATATAAATCAACCAAGTTAGGCCAGGGAAGTACACAGTTCAGTTACTACCAAGTTAACAAACTCTAATTTCTGCAGAGAATAAATGTTGAACTTATTCCATAAAACGTATTCACTGAAGAGTATTATTTACTTTCAATACATGAAGATTGTACGTGTATAAGCCTGTCAGGAACAAGATAGACAAAAAAGCTGTTCTACATGAAAACTTCATAGTTACTGTTTATTTGAAAAGTATGGGCAGTAAGATCAATGTTCTAATAAAGTTGGTCTGAGCTACAGAAACCAGACAGTCAAGAGAGAACCTTAGCCAGAGCAGTGGAAAAAAAGGGTGAAGTTTGGGTGAAGGTAAAGGACCCAATAGGAGATGGGGGGCATACCACAGCCTGGGCAGAAAAGGAGTCTGGTTGAGGTTATGTCTGAACTGACTGGTTCTTATATCTCAAACCGAATCATTGCACACAGCTTACTCATTGCCCTAATGATGGAGGCAGCAAGAACCTCTGAAACGTTGGTAAACTTCTACCAGACTACACGGCACTACAACTCAGCCGTCTTCATACTCGCTGTTCTAAGAATCTCAAATCCTAAAACAAGAGATGTCTCCTGTGCAAGTTGATCATTCTGCATTTAATTATAAGTAAGAGTTCAATTTTTGTATATTTTATCAATAAAGTTTCTTCAGAGTATTTAAAATAGCCAAAGTAATCATTTTATTTAAATTAAATCTCAAAAACTTTCAAGTTTATTATCTCAGAATATTTTGTGTTGTTAATATGGATTCCGTTCTAATAACAATTACTAAGGTCCCACACAGATGGAAATTTTGGATTCATGAACCTATTTTTAATGCCAAAGTGGTTAGATATTGGGTTCTGTACCTGCAGGTAAGTCAGTAGTCCAGATGCTTTCTACTGCCTACAGAATCACTACATTTTAATTGCCAGCTCCACAGAAATATTGCAAGCATAGTTCCCCATGTACAAGTAAGCACCTTTATCCATAAAATGCATTACATTTGTTAAAATACAGTGTGGCGAGAAACAACAGAATGCCTGCCGCGTGGTGAGGTCCCTGTGGATACATGAAATACTGTCTATTCCCTGATTAGTTTTGAGGTTCAAGCATTCTTTACAACATAAAAACTGCTACATCTTTCAAAACTGGATACTACTTTATCATTAACAAATTAAGGTAAGCAAATTTTCTAATTTTAACTTACATAAAAAAATAAATTCAGAAGACAGATAGATTAATACAGTCAGTAGAAATACATTGTCAAATTTCTTTTAAAAAAATCACTTAAATATTTATAAATTTTATCTACCTACTTATAAACTGACTGCACACTGAACAAGATAATGTTCAGAATTTAAAAATAATGATAGACATCACTGTAAGGTTCATACTGTGCTCTTTTGGGATGTATGAGGTGCGATCGGAAAGTTTCAAGACTGCGCCTATAAAAACCCGTACACTTATCTCAGGTATTAAATTCATCCATCACCTTCGAAGTAGTTACCCTGGGAGTGAACACAATGATCCCAGCGCCGCTGCCAAGCCTGGAAGCATCCCTGGAAATCTTTCTTTGTCAGCCTGTCAAGCACCATCTGCGATTCTGCCTGAATCTCTTCTATCGTCTCAAATCTCCATCCCTTTAGCTGAATTTTCATCTTTGGGAAGAGGAAGAAGGCACACGGCGAATAAGGAGGGTGCGGGATGACGGCCATGGTGTTTGAGGCCAAAAACTGCCGAACTTTGAGGGAGGTGTGCGCTGGCGCGTTGTCATGATGCGTCGCATGGGGAGTTCTTCCTTTAGAATCAGCTGACAGGTCCCATAGCCTAGCCGTTTTGGCGAGTCTTTGGCAAAATTTGATGCACGCGCCATTACGAAATCGCAGGAGGGTCGGTGTAATGCACTACCAAAACGCCCGTAACTAAGAAACAAATGCTAATTCGATGATGCCGGCTGGCACACTGATTCACTATGAATGTAGGCCGCACCCCCTA